TGCCAGCCCGCTCAGAGATGTGTATAAGAGACAGTATATATATATATAATATATATATAGAATATATAGTTGTAGAGCTGGACCATTTTTTTAATCAAGACATTTTTAATTACGCTAAAATCGATGATAGATACGCGGCTTAACATAGGTTTATAGAAATACTAGATAGCGATGCATATAATTTTTATTTTATTTCCATCTACTTCAGCACATTCCGATAAATTGTTTCCTTTAGGAAGCAAATAATACACAAATTTTTAGGGCTAATTTTTATCAAGTCTTCTCATTTATTCTGATATCAGTATTCTCTTTAACAATAATTTTTGATGCCTAATTACATTTAACAATCTTGTTCTTGAAATATATTATATATATAATATTTATAAAGCAAATATATCTGTAAAATGGTGAACAAGTAATTTTTAATTGGTAATAAATAAGCATTTTAACGTAACAACGGAAACACTTTTACGAGAAAACGTTATTAGCATGATGGCAGTCAGAGACATATCATTAGCATATAGACAATTATATTTACGAGCTGTACTGTATTAAAGGATATTATTTATGAATATCAGTTCTCAATATAAATTTTTGAAAATTTCTTGACAGAAAATTGAAAGAGTGGAAGAGAAGCCATACATTACTATTTCGCGTGAAGGCGAAGGGTTGTACTGAATGATGATGGTGTGTGTTGACAGGAACGGGCGGAGTTGCTGTTGCTGAGGTATGCGTCTCGATGGGCACGTCACTTCGTGCGTCGCAGACTTGATCTGGTTATAGACTCGCAGGAACGTGATAGAGGCGTTATGGGTCTGTCTGTACCACCGCGCCATTGTGTCTCCGCCCGTTGCCCTTGTCAATTCATTGAGGACCATCTCAAACACAAGCCGAGAGGCAAGTTGACGTTACGTAAATTCTTTCTAATGCCCGACTTCACTAGATGACTGCCAATGGAGACTGATATCACTTTTAAAAGGGGTCTACTTTAGAGTCTTACGAGATAAAGATCTTGGAGAGAGAAACTATGCTGATGTGTCTCTGACACTTCAAACGACTTAATATTGTACAGTCAGGTTTGTTACGCAATGGTTGAATCAATAGTCATATTTTTGAAATTACGATGTTAATAGATAAGCGCAACGTAATAAATGATAACATCATTGATATAACGGCAGGAAAATCCATTTGTGGTTTTAGTATTGTATTTTTTATAAATTGTATACTATTTTATCATTGCATAGCAGGAATTCATGGAAATCGTTTATGCACCGAACGATTTATATATTGTTTATATATCGTAAAAATATGATATAATGCTATATTTTTTTAAAATTTACATATTTCTATTCGAGTATGTATAATAATCGACTATATATATAACAATTCGAGTATTGATAACAATCGTAAATTTGAGACTGTCTATCTTGTTACGTCACATTCCATATGTTGATAATTATTGAAAAATTAATGCATTCACAATGCATTGATTTTAATGAAATTTTAACGAAAGATATTAGAGTATCATAAAAATTGGTTCTTTATCTGTTATCTAAAATTTCATATATGTGCTTTCTATATATTATTATATTCACGTCGTTTATATCTAGCTTTGCTTTTACTTTGCACTACAATCTTTGAACAAATTTTTTGTGATATTGATATAGATACGTCAATATTGATTTTTTTTTTAAACTTTTCATCCGCACAATTAGCAGTTGCGCTTGATCGTGCCATTAAATAACATGTCAAATTACATGTACACCATTACATGTACATACACGTTATATCGTATACATGTTATAAAAAAAAACTTTGAAGCTTGCAAAATATATATGTGGCATTTTAAAAAGTGCTAAAAATAAAGGAGAAACTTTGTCTCGATCACTTTGCAGATCTTAGATTATTGTGTATCGTTGAAATATTCAGCAAAACGCGTATTACAAGATAAACGACTAAAGTAAACAAAATTGTTCACCATTTTAGAAGGTAAAGCTTGTTTTCCTCGAGCGTACATACAAACGTTATTATTCGTCTTTATTCCTAAGGCACGCACAACTTGTGACTAATATAACTTAATTGAAAGGTTTTGTCACTACTTAAGATTGGGAGAGTCGTCTCTTTGTGGGGAGTAATAGTACTAGTATGATAAGGACTAAACACCGAACGGCACCTATCGTACTCGATATTTTATCGCGTTTATCTTGGGTTCTTTCGGGTTAAAAGAGCCTTTTCGAGCCTTTATTATTACATTTGCCATAGGTCTGAGATAAAGCGTTATAATTCTTTTAATACTATGAGATTTATATTAAAGAACAGGGTATACCGTGCAACATATACATATATTATGGGAGCAGAATCGTCAAATGTGTGTATCGTTTGGAAAAGAAATGATGAATCCCATAAGACAATAAATCTAATGGTTATTTGATGTTAGTGTTTTTAAGAATATTGGGATTTCTTTAGACTAAGCATATTCGCTCTGTTTTCTTTAGTGCAATCGTACGTGTACAATCGTAAAGAGCAAATTGATTACGATAAAATTATTATTCAATTAGAATGGTCAATGTATACGAGATGATTCACTCTCAATTATGTTATAGATACTTCTATCCAAATTACTGACATATTGTAAGCATCACGCGCCGTCGCGTGCCCACGCGCAATTCTAAATACCAAGAGACACGTGGTAGTGTCTCGCGTGTACGATATACACGAGATATCAAATTTGCATATTCGTCACATCCGTCCTAAAAATTTGCATAGATGTAAGCCGTAGTTAAGATGTAATATACTTTTATATTGTGTTTACAGAGAAAGTACTTATTGCAGAATCCACCACAAAAAAAAATTGTAATTGTACAGAACCGCCGATATTCTTATATATACAAACTGTAAAGCACTTTTATATGATTGTTAAAAATGTTGTGGAATAAAAATATATACATATGTCTATTCTTTACCAATGCCGTGTACTTTTGTGTGAAACAGTAAAACGACGATTGAGCGTTAATCTTTTTTTTTTTCATCTTCGTATAGTCTTTCGGAGCTCGTGTTAACTTTTTGTGTAGCATTAATAACTGTGTAACTAACATACTAATCTTGAGGGCATTCCTTGCATGCAGCCGGACGGAAGATGATGAATCTCAGTATATTACCTCATCCGCATATCATCAGCACGTAATAATAATCTCTAATATTATGTAAGTATTACATCAAGCAAGTTTTATATAGCAAGTGTCTTTTACAGCACACTCACACTAGTGAAAGTGAATTTTAATACGGTGAAAAAGATGCACATATTTTTACATTAATGTCAGAACGTCAAACACGACTGAATTTGATTCCATTGTAAATATACTTCTTCAAATTCTAGCACAACTCTATATATTTACTAAACTCGATTGGACTTGACGTACCAGAGTAAAAAATGAATTCTAAATTTACCTGCACTTTGAATGAATGATTTTTTTTCCTTGCACAGTGATATCCAATTTGCTAAGAGGTTTTTGCGTGTTACGTGTTTAACAAGAAGTAACTCTATCGCTATTATTACCTCATTAATTTTATGGCCAGTTATTTTCTGCCTTCGCATGCATGGAAGTTATTTGGAAATTTGCGCATTTAATAACACTTTGACATCATAAAAAAGGAAAAAAGTAATTTTAAAAATTACAATCCTATTTAACTGTCTTTTGTACTATTATACTATTTCGGTATTTTTGGAATTCTTCCGTACAAATTATTTTCTTTTTTTTTTTTCGAGTTTTAAGTACAGGTGAAAGATGCTACTAACATTATATAAACAATTGATTTTTTTATTTGAAACAAATAACACGTATTGAGCAATAATGCTACCAGAGTGTTTAGGTTAAAACGTGCGTATCCTGATGTCGAGGAAATAAAATTTAAGTATTGTCACACATTTGTCTATTAACAAATTTTTGTAGATTCACTAAAATACATTTGTTATATAAAAATTTATAATACGACATATTTGTAAAGGAAGTGATATGTGAGCCATATGTCAGGATACGCATTACATTTGCGTCTTTGTCTCATTAATGTATATTAATCTGTCGACGTGACTTTTTCAGGATACCCACCGGGATTTACGTGGTGCGCCTACCTTAGTGAACCTGCAAACCGATTTGACATGGTACCAAGTTTATCCCACTGAATAGTTTTTGTTCTTATACAAATCGTGTTGATACGAATATCGTACGAATTTATATACATATAGACGGATGAGCTATATCAAAATAAGACGTACCGTTACGTGTACAGAGAGATAGCTATTTACCCGTTAATTTAAACTGCATACCTTTCGTTCGCGTATTTTTTTAGAGTAGCTACGTGAAAGTTGTATTATCAGATTTTATAAGCCTATATATTTTTTATATAACTATATATTCTTTGATATTAGCAATAATTAATCTGTTTTCGAGCTTTCGATCATTTTTTTGTATTATTAATATATTGCTCAGTGGCATATATGCAGTGATTTAGTGATTTAAATTATATATCGGTTAAACCCGTTTGATCTCTCATTCGGAAACTATTCGCGAAAATAAAGAAATAATTTTTTGGAATAGTTGTGCGCACGACACAGTATTATAAGATATAAATTAATCGATATTTATACAATAAAAATATAATATATTTTTGTTGTATAAGATATAATTATGCGAAGATAGCCACATGTGCGCGCGCGCATCGGTAACATACTGTAATCTCTATCATTCGAAGAGTTCTTCAAAAATTTAAAATGAAGAGTGTGTGTTGTTTTGTAAGAAAATTATACATACAAGCTAAAAAAGTATTAAAAAGGTATACGATAAAAATATAAAATAATCTCTCTTTTTTTTTTTAATGATAAGCAATGCAATTTTTGATAACTCTTTGAATAACCGAACTGTACGATTCCTCTCAATTGGGCTACTTCGCATATTTTTAATATATAAAGATAAAGGGAATGTAAGAGTAACTCGTAAGTTTTTACATGCAAGAAGATCAAGAGGAAATCATAAATCTTTATAAATGTTATTCTTCATGATAAATGTGATAGAATATAATTATCAGTAGCATCGTGCTACTGCACAAGTAGCGCTAGATGTTAAGTTGTTACCGTGCCTTGTCATAAATTTCGTTGGGATTGCTCTATGAAATATTATGTACCATTAAATAACGTAAGGACGTATCAATCTGTGTAATCGGTGTACTGTTCAATGTACCAATACATACGAGTACGCGTATGCATATCAATCATGTTAAGAATATAAAGGGATTATTGACCAAGATTTTACCAAGATTTTATCGAGAGATTTCAAATACTTATTATAGACAATATTATAATAATTTAATGTATCTTGTACAGCATCTCAGCGAATGCTTCTTTTTTTTATTCGCAAAATATGAATTAAATTTATTTGTAATGAATTATCAATAACTGAAAATGTATTTTATAGCAGATTGTATTTGTCAACTTATTTTTTACATAGGCAGGTGCTCTAAGAAGGGCATATATAAAATATATATCATTTAAAGATTAACAGTGGCCAAAATTTTTTGGAATAAATTACATAAGTATATCAAAATAGGTTCTCTCTATCCGAGATAATAAATTATTAAAACAATATCCTATATAATAAAATGTACCTCGCGAATATGAATTTATTTCTTCTATGTTACCAGAGCGGCTTGCGCCTGCTGCCTAATGTCATCCGCGAGCCTCTTTATCTCTTCATTATCCACCTGCATTTGTTGTCCCTCCTTCTTCAGAGTACATTCCAGCTGCTTCAACTGCTGCTTGGTATTCAAATAGGTTTTCACTTTTTTGTACATATCTGAGTTACTCGCACCCGTCTGCCCGTCCTTTGTGCACAATTCACCTGAAATTATATTAGCAGGAATACAATCTAACGATTCTTTTGAACGAAATGAATCATCCAGCAATCAGATGCGAATAAAAAGAAAATTAGACTCCAGTTTTTCCACAAGTTCTACTTGCTACGCTTTACGAGAGAGAGAGAGAAAGAGAGAGGACTTTAAAATGCGCGATGTTTTTTTTTTACACAACTGTGATCCAACGTAAATATTACAAATGTTTACTTGTGATTTTAAACGCCACGTCGTCCACCCCAGCTCTGTCGAGATCCTCCAGCATGTGTTCATGGCTTGGCATGTGAGGCCTCGGTGGTAGGCTGTTCTTCTTGTTGGTGAACATCACACCGTGTCACAATAATAAGAATCCAAATGCCTGAGCTTGAGCCTTCGCTTTTTCAATTACTCGGTCTCGTCTTGCTCAGAAATGAGGATCAAAGCTTCGTTTTTTACAAGCTAAACAAGCTGAACTACCTGTATCTGTATACAGGTACGGAAAGTATACAGTACATACAGTATGCACTGAGCATCGAAATCGACGTCAAGTCTCATCAAGTCAAAATACTGTGCAATACTGTGTGTAGCGTGTGTGATAGTCGATAGTCAGCTGTGACTTCGTGATCAGTCGGCAGTCGTCAGAGAGAAACCTGAGAGACGACATGACGGCCGGCCTTTTGCCTGTTACCAGCTGATCGAAATGCCTTCGTGCACTAACGCCCTCTGAAGAAATGGATGTAAACTACATAGCAACATTCACTTTTCTGCACCGCGGGTGTAATACAATTTGTGGTGCGCGTCCGCGCTACATCCATCTTTCGATCAGATTGCTGGGACTCTTTGGGCTCTTTTTATTCTCGAAAAATTGCGCATTCAAAAATTATATTCGTAAAGTTTGCTACAAATTGTAGCCAAATTCCGAGCTGCAAACTTTACGCCAAGAGTTTGCACGGAATTTGGCGACAATTCGAAACACTATAGTGTTTAATTATAACGATATATCGTTTAAATAGGCGCGAGATATTCAACAATTTTATGATTAATTTAAATTACAACGTTCGCGATATCCGGAAAGTGGTCGCATATTAATTACGACAATTTGTATATGATATCATGCTTTAATATATAACATTTAATATGTACTTGTATTAAAATCTTTAATTTAAAAAATATATATAATTAATTTATGTAATATAAAGTTTTGCGAGAAATAGAAAGTAAAAGAAAGAAGGATGTGGCATATACATGTAAGACACGTTTAGCACGGACACGAACCACGTTCTAATGCTATGATTTGATCGACAATGTTGTAAGATAGACGTGGTACGTAGTTCCTTTTTTGAAAACGTGGACGTGGGGCGCTAGTGTACGGAGGAGAATCGGCTCACCCAAAAAGGCGCCGTGGCCTCTCTCACGCTTCTCTCTGACGAAAGAAAGTTTATTGTCAAATACGTATTGTCAAGAACGGTTCCATATTTCCATAGCGAATAGAATACGAAAATTCACATAAAAACGTACGTAATCAGTTTAATAACCCGATTTTATCGGTTATTTTAGTCGTGCATTAATCTAAATGTTTAGAACGTTTACTTACTGCATCAATAATTGCATCTCATCTCCACGTGGTGCCTACATTTCGCATGTTGATCGTTTTATTATATTAAATCTCTTTTCCAGATGCCGTCTGTAACGTTAAAAGACGTAGACCAGCAAAAATTCGTGAAGGCTTTTGCAGCCTTTCTGAAAAAGTGAGTAAGAAATGCAAGTATAATAACGTTTGGAATCTAACCTATAAGTAGAATGAGTATAATTTTAAAATCTAATCTAATTCGCTCTTGCGACTAAATTTAACGTAATTTGTATAATCTATTACTTTTATTAGTTTTTGTTTTTTTCTAAATATTCATTTTCTGTCATTAAACTTTTCGTTTTCATAATAGTTTATAAAAAATTCCCATTTTATACTGAATATTATTTTTGGTCACAGACACGTGCATAAGACAGCTTCAAGATATATGTATAATTGCGATTCGACGTTGCACTCCGTAAAATTTTAGAACCGGCAAGATGCGAGTGCCAGAGTGGGTGGATCTCGTGAAGACGGCCAAGTTCAAGGAGCTGGCGCCCTACGATCCCGACTGGTACTACATCAGGTGTGCGGCCCTGGTGCGTCACATTTATATCCGCAGCCCGATCGGAGTCGGCGCGGTCACGAAGATCTTCGGTGGACGCAAACGCAACGGCACTCATCCCAGCCACTTCTGTCGATCGTCGAGCGGCGTCGCGCGGAAGGCGCTCCAGAGCCTGGAGCAGTTGAAGCTCATCGAGAAGGCGCCCCTCGGCGGACGTAAACTGACCAGTCAGGGACGCAGGGACTTGGATCGCATCGCTGCACAAGTTAAAGCCAAGAGCAAAAAACAGCTTAAGCTTCAAGAGGCGATTGTAATCTAAATAGCCTTTCTTTAATAAAATTAAGAAATGTAAAACCTCTCAGTTCTGTTCATTAGCTATATCCGACTGCATATAATTTTATCGCTCTGACAAGTTTTCATTGGATAATATTCAAGAATTGAGAGTTGAAAATTTGTCAAGATAAAAGTTAAACTATAAGATATATGGATTTAGAAAAATGTTCCACGTGGTATCGCAGAGAATACAAATAAAATACGTATACTTTTTTAAATAAAATAATGTAATTTATATGTTTGCAAGCACACACGAGAAAAGTTTCATTTTGATGTTTTCATACAATGGAACACGTTGAATATTTATTATTATTACAAATTACAAATTGAGGTAAAGTATTACGGGACAATGATCGCTGCCATAAACCTGCTTCCTTATGATATTATCGCACACTTTATTCTTGATTCGTTCTGATGTCAAGAAATAGTCTAGTCGCCTAAATATAAAAAAAATTTTAGATTTAGTAATTTTTTTAAGGTATACAGTATATTTTCAATTATAAAAAATTTGCTATCATATTTGTGTACGATATGCAAATCGTTGATAAAGGAAAAAAATTTAATATAACTCATATACTTACCATCCAATGTTTTTACCACGTGCATTGGCAAAATACGACCAGAACGTATATGCACCCTCGGTGTCCGGATACAACAGTCTGAAGGTATCTGTAAATCCGGCAGCTAAAAAATCTGTCATATCATCTCGTTCTTCTTTAGTAAATCCAGCATTTTTAGTGTTTGTTTTGGGATTTTTTAAATCTGGAAATCAATATTAATAAGTTAACGTTTCCATTCGCGTACTAATTATTGATTAAATGAGTCTAATATTGGTGAATTATTGTTAAACAAGTCTAATATGACACAAAAATTGTATTTATTGTTCTAATATTGATACTGTACCAATTTCTTGATGGGCCACATTCATGTCACCGCATATGATAACAGGTTTCTTTTGATCTAATTCCTGAATATGCTTCTTGAATACTTTATTCCACTCCAATCTTTTCGGCAGCGTCACCAACTTCTGTCCAGCATTTGGCACATCTGTTATAATATATTCTAATAATTATTAAATCCAAGTAATGTTTTTGACAAAATTAGAGATGTATATTTTGTAGAAGATAGATTATATACTTTTAAGAACTATATTAATGTCTACATCACATAATACATTGAGCTGTATATATATTCCAAATTTTTGCAGGACATTTAAGAGATTTATTAAGTAACTTACAAACGTTGATCACGAAAAATTCTGGGAACTCCGCCGTGATCATTCTACCCTCGATGTCAAAAGTGGAATTATTCAAACCATATTTCACAGAAATGGGCTTTTCCTTGCTGAACAAAGCAACTCCACAATAACCGGGCTTTTTACCTATTGAAGCATTGAACATTTATTAACTATACGATTTGTATATGCAGTGTCAAAATTTATTTTTGAATATACTTACTGTCGACAAAATAGTGATTGTATCCTGGTAATTTAATTTCATCTGGCATCTTATCTTTGTCACACTTTGTTTCTTGCAAAGCAAATATATCTGCGTCTTCTTTGGCGATATAATCGATTCCATTTTTCTGATCAAACATAGTAGAAGAATCATTATACAAGTACTATGATATATTACGGAAATGTACTTTAACAACAGTACCTTGATTACAGCCCTTATCCCAGAAACATTCCAAGTACAGATCTTCAGATTATATTTCTTTCCTTCCTCGTTTATCTTTGCACATTCAAAATCTATTTCGTCCAAGTTGGTGTCCGTCTTATTTTGCATTTGCTTGGGTTCATTCTTCGCCTTCTTCGCGGTAGATGCATCAGTGGTTTTATCAGTGCTCTTCGATGCCTTTGAATCGACTTTTACCTTCTTTGGAGCAGGTTCATCATTTGTATCATTCGCGCGTTTCTTATTTAAAGTTCCATTTTCATCTAATTTCTCTGCTTTCTTACCAGGTTTAGCTTTGGGAGACTGAACCTGTTGTCAAGAAAAACTGATGTATAGTCTTTTTGTATTACTTAACAAGAGAAAGTTATGAATATAAATATTTATAATTGATAAACTCATACAATTTATAAATATAAAATTCTTAGCAAATAATATTGTAATTGTGTCACACTTTACACACAAGAGTAATACTTGTATACTTTAAAGTTTATAATTAAAATTTATAGTCATATGTATTGATATTAAAGGATTGATAATCTTTCATTATGAGAGATATCAACAAACTGCATCCATATAAAATCACTACATAATTGTATCGGTTACTTGATTATGCCTATATATATTGACTACATAAGTTAATCATGAATATATAAATTTTTCGTACCTTTGTTTTTGTAAGGCGTTTTCGTGGCATGTTGAAACCTTTGCGAAGAGAGAATACTGCGGAAGATATAAACGGTGTTAATGTCCAATGGCTACCGAATTGTATCAACGCTTCTAAATAATCATTCAACCCAATAAAATCGATATTGCAAGTGGCACACGCTAGAAATGTACGTATTCGTCAATTATTTATAATAAATTGCGCCACTACGATTGAAAGCTCAAATTTCGGTGCTCTCAGTCGCGTCAACGAGAATAATACACGTAAAACTGCAATTGCGTCACAGGTAACATATTACGGTTATTAAAGACATTTCATTATCTGCCCTCAATCGATAAATACATAGCCTAGTCACCTGGCCTAACCGTCTAACCGCTTCTACTTCTCTTCCCGGCTTTTTGACCTACAATACACCCAACCGAATCAAAAGGACGGCGCTGGTTCGCTAATTTTGTAATTATTTCTCTTTTTACAGACCTGAATAATTCTCGTACGAGGAACCGGAAGGGACGTAACGACGCGATTCAGCCTGAACAACTTCAAATTCAGTGCCATCCAGCACTACGTGGCGTACAGCATCCACAAGGGGTCCAAACCGTCTGGCGTCTAAAACTCCCTTCTTGGAAAACAATTTTCAGCGCCACTATGTTGACCACTGCTTACAACAGTCACGACCCGAAAGATGGAAAGAGACACTGTATTAGAATATTTATAGAAATGTTTTTTTTTTAGCATTCGCGTCCCTTTTTGTACATATAAATAAATAACAGTAAATTGTTAAAAAAGTTAAATATACTATATATATAATGCTAAATATTATTTCTGATATCTCTAATGCAAAATTTCTTTCTATATTTTATGTTTTAAGCTTCTAAATTTTATTTTATATTTAGATTTTTTAAATCAGTTATTTAAATTCGACAAAACAATTTACTATTAACTTGCTGATATGAAATTTGAAGTGGCAAAATGCTGACTGCATCAGATATCATTTCGCTGCCATCAGCACTATTACTGCTAATATCAACTTCTCTACAATCTTTTATCTAAGATAAATTCAAATATTAAAGGTATTTTCTGGAAGCATAAATACAGAAGAATAGAATAATAGAAGTTACAAATTTTCTTTTAAATAGCTTATATTTTACAAGAGAGTCACAGGAATAGGATTATTGTCGCGCGAGTTGCCTTTTCAGAAAAGATCATTCAAATAATTATTTTAGAATTATTGCAGCAATAGTAACGATTATCTAACGTTATTAATTTGTTAGATATTTATAATTCGCTAATATAACTACGAAACGTATGTACCTAATTCATTCTAATTCAATTTCATTAGTGACGTAATTCGTGAAAAGCGAAAATCATCGTAAATTGATTTACAGATTATGTATATGAAAGAGTGAGATATTAAATTATAATATAATAAATACAATACAATAAAATTCAATTACTGGTACGTTGAAGATGCAGTAAATTCGCTTTGGCCAATAATGACTCAGATTTTAAATGGCATATACAGAATAATCGCATAAAAATATTTCCGGGCCGGGGATCAGAAATATTTTTCAGTAATAGTTTATTGTAAATCAAGTATATATAAAATAAACTTATAAAGATTGTACACTTAAATTACGCGGCACCGCGCTGTCGGCCAGAAACGCCCGCGACTCTTCGCTCGTCGTCGCGACGACGGCGATCTTTCGGTATTCTCGAAGAGAAACTTTAAACCTTGTATCGCAGGGCAATCACAACAGTGGGACCAGGTAGAACCATGACACGAAATAGGACGTCAACATGCATGCACGAAACGTTGCTTACAAGGGAATGCATCTTAACGCGAATTAAACATCCTGGAATCCTCGATACCATCCTCCCCCCCCCCCTGATATCGTGTCGTTGGCGATATCGAGGAGCTGTATAAAACGCAAGATAACTCAACAATGGCCTTGTAAAATCGAATACGCGTCATTCGCGGTGAGCGAATATACGGGGAACGTTTCTAAAATGGTCGTGGATCTAGAATATAATCGAGATTTTTCAGGACTCCCATTTACTGTAACTACATTTAATTATTAATATTTCGAGAGAAATGTACACGATTAAATCTAAAATATATAAATATTATACAAATTGCGCGATTAAATTTCTATCGTCGCTAGTCGTTGCTTCACGTGACCGTCCGAACGTTTCGATTCTCGCGCCTGAGATCCGCCTTATTTGTTATTTTAGGATTATTTTTTTTTCCCCCAAAAGCGAGATCTCCCGAATAAGATCTTTTGCTAATTGTTCGTATAATTGTCGTAAAACAAAGCACTTGTACAGGCACGTTCAGTGTAAGTACTAAATATCAATAGCCTCGCGTAACAAACACTTCAACGTTGTACGTCTGCAGTTATGCAATAGAAAAGTCCTCAAGGCCAATTAACAGCCGGAAATCGACACAATATGTATAGACTGTACATATCGTACATGTACAGTATATGGGTCGTATATATACATACATACAACATACATACATACATATATATATATATATATATATGTGTGTGTGTGTGTGTGTGTGTGTGTGTGTGTGTGTGTGTGTATGTATATATACCACACATGCATTTCACCCTGTACAATCTATAAACAGAATTCTCTCTCATACGTAATACGAGGCACATGTGATATCATTTCGATCTGTCCACTTCGTTCAACGTGATCCAAACGACCTTCATTTCTCGGGCTCGTCGGGATGCTCTGTCTTGATATGATGAGTAAACGTGTACTGCGTCGTGAAGCGTTTCTTACAATAAGGGCACTGATATGGCATCACGGGGTGTGCAGATCTCAAATGCGCTACGGCTAGCTCCCTCGACACGAACGGTGATTGGCACACACCGCACCGATATCTAAAAAAAAAAAAAAAGATAATAAGTGCATAGGATTAAACTTTTCAGGATAAAACACAAAATTTCTCGAGACATCTCTTTACCCGCTAGAAGTTTTAATGAGGGTCCGTTTGAGAGGCGGAGGTGTACTCTGCTCGTTGATTTCAACCTTTGGCTCGATCGGAGATACGGTGTATTCCAGCAGTGCCTCCGGTTGTAATTTTGGCATCAATTCGTCGTCCGCTTTGGCTACTTTAATCTCGTGTGTCTGCGCCTAAGAACGTAACGTTACCACATAATATATGATGCCGCTACTGAACACTGAAGTTATGGGGTAATATCATGTCCCATTGCGTACCGTATTACCGCGCATGTACTCGGCATGCATTTTCATGTGGGCGTTTCGTGACTGCGAGCTCGCGAAAGTCGCGTCACATTTGGAGCACTGGTACGTCTTGTTGCTGACGTAGGGCGACGTCTTCTGCCGAGACTTCACGGCGGCTTTCTTTCCGAACAGTGCTCCGCCCGTGCATTGGTGGGCGAGTAGCGAGACTTCTTTGAAAAAGATTTTATTACACTTCGCACAGTGATAGGTTTTATCCACCGTGTGCGTCTTTTGATGCGTCATATCCATGAATGATTTGTTGCTAACAGCGGACGTGTACAGTGAGGCGTTATCGAGCGTTAGGCGTTTATGACAAGCCTACCGAGCAAGGAGGTAGTTCGAGTTTAAAAAAAAATGCAACGACAATGAACGGATAATAATATTGTAACAACATGTCTTCCCGGTGGGGAGGGGAGAGAAGGGACTTACCTCGTGCTTCAAGAGCTGCGACTGTTCCTTAAACGTTTTTTTACATATACTACATTTGTGGCAATAATTTTCGTGTGTTTCGAGATGCGTTAACATTGTCGTGTGATCGCTGAACCATTGCAAGCAAATGCCGCATCTCGCCACGTTTTTGTTCCCACCGGAAATGTGTTTCGCCAGGGATTCGTCGTCTATCGGGACATCGTTCTTCTCCATTATCTACGTGTAAAAAGAATCACGCAACATAAATCAGGAATTCAAAATCTGTTGTAGCGACAAATTAAATCTCTGATACTGCAAATAATAGGAAAACGCAATCAACTTTCGCAATTTTATCGCGACTGGTGGGCATTTTTATCCTTTTTTTTTTGTATACTTGCTACATCAAAATCCTGTTTTAATAAAATTATATTATTCCCTAATTTTTTAAATCCAATACGTATTTCATTACATGTAACAAACAAAAAAAGGATATGATATTAATAATAAATCCAAATGCGTTCTATGCTTATTTTCGCTACAATTCTCTCATGATAATTTTCAACCGCAGATTACGATGAATTAAACGATTAGCTTTGCTTCAAAAGATGGGGTGTAGGATTGCTAAAAGTGGCAAGAGTGAATATCCGGGTTCGATTCCGAGTCCCATTATAGGAAGCATTTGATAATGGACAAATGCTTAGAAATAAGTAGACAAATTTAAGATGATAAATACAAACAGGTCTGTGTTATTACGAGCCAAATAAACGATAATCCATAATCAAGAAGTGAGATCGGAACAAACCTCGGAGTAGGATTTCTTGGTACCGCGGGTCATAGCGTCTCTCGCTTCCCTCGCCTCCCTCTCGGCGTTCAAGGCCTCCTCTTGCTCGACTGCCGACAAGACTGGCGATTCATTGTGCTCGGCTATTTTGTGTCCCGCAAGGCGTATAAAAAGTCCGAATGACCGGCCGCAAATGTCGCACTTGTGCTTCTTCGGTTCGTGAGTGCGCATGTGATTCGACAGTGCGCTCTGCTGGGTACAAACCTGCAACAATAGACAATACAGAGATCGTCAGAGGATGTAAAACACGTAGAACTTTTCAATATTTAATATACGTAATTGCGACTTCATATACCTTCCCGCAAGTGGGACACGTGAGAAGCTTCACATTATCGTAATATTGTTCGTCTCGTTTAATCTCTCTGGTTCGTTCATCCGTTTTCGCCATCAGGGATTCCAAAGATTTCGACAATTTCGGCATCACCGCCGAGTACGCTTGATGCAACTGAACGTGTTTTTGATAAGATTCTAGCTTAGGGAAGAATCTGAAAATCGAATACACGTTTAAAATACTGAGAGAAGCTGCCTGTGAAGGTAAATAGGTCCCTCGCGATCGCAAATTACCTATTGCATAATGAACACCACGTGTTACTTCCGATCTCGGTCAATTCGGCTACATGATCGCGCAGCCTGTGCTGCTTGAGCATTTCCCAGCTTACGAACTGCCGGTCGCACTGATCACAATCGTATAAGTTTTCCGTGAAGTCCAGCTTGACCTTCAAATGACTGTTGGCCTCGTGTCTCGCCAAGACCTCGACGGAGTCGAAGGACGCGGAGCACTTTCTACAAGTATATATACGCGGGCAGTGCAATTGCATGTGCTTCATCAGGCTGTCCTTCGTCCTGGAAAACGACGAAAATTTTTGTTATCGAACGACGATCGACGACGGATCCCGGGGGAAAAACGATCGCCGGAAGCACCGGCGGCGAGTAAAGGGAGAGTTACTCACTTGTAATAATTGTTGCAGGGCGCGCACCACCATTCCGAAGTTAGCTTCGCTCTAGATTGCAGCTTCTGGTGATTGTTCTTCGTCAGATTGCCGGTCAGCACCTGTTCCAGAATACTGGTTCGTTTGTCCTCCTTCTTGGCCTGATAATCCGGTTTAGGGGCTCTCGCCCCTTCCATGTCGGGAATGGATTCCGTTTGAATGTCCATGCCGAACATCTCCGACAGTTTGCGCTTCTTGTTCAGCGGCTCGCAAACGGCAGATTCGGCGCTCAAAATCGACTCCATCGTGCTCATCTCCTTGATCTCCACCTCGCACGGCAACTCGGACAGGGCTTCCATGCAGACGTTCTGGAGATGGTCCTGATTGACTTGATTGATCGGCATCGCCGAGTCGTCGTACGGCAGGGCGGCTGATAGAGGAACCAGCGGCGGTGGTGCTCTGGACTTCTCCTTGCAGAGCTGTACCTGGCGTGTTTTCGAAATAGCAACGATTGAGAGAGAAAGTCCACTTGGAAGAGTGAAATCTACCGGTTGATTGTTTACATTGATTGTTTACATTTACAATGACAAGAGAATTTACGGGATTTACGCGTTTTCCCGCGAGAAAATATGTTCCGCTCGACAAACCTGGCACGGGTCCGACGAGTTCCTCATCGCGTTGAGGAATATCTGGGCGGACTCCGTCTGCTTGTACCTCAGCAACACGTCGTGCATGCTCCTGAAGACGTTGAGACAGTACTCCCGGAACTCGTACACGTCGTCCAGCCTGGCCGCGCAAAACTGGCAGATCTGCTTCGGCAGCGGGTCGGTCTTGTACACGAGCACGGGCAGGCAGGCGCGCAACTTCTGCGCCACCCTGCGCTGCAGACCCTCGTCGCCGAAGATCGGCAGCATCTCGTTCCTCTCCTCCGAGCAGAGCCGGCAGACCTTGTCCCACTTGTCGCCCGTGCCCATCGTCGCCGCGTAGAGACTCGCGTTCATCGCGGGGAGGGAGCGCGCCGTTCTTGCCCGTCCGTCCATCCGCCTCGCCGAGATTGGCGAGATTCCGTGATTCCGCGCGCCGTGAATTAGGTTAGCCGCACGACGGACGTCGCGCCGCGCGCGACGCTGGCACGGCCTGGCCGGAGCGCGGCGTTGACGCGGGCATGCCCTGCCCGACGTTCGCGCGAGACACCTGGCCGTGAGAAGACGGTGAGCTCGGGGTGAAGACTGAAGACGCGACGAGGAAACGCGCACCTGGTTCCGCCGCCGCGGGGGGAGGGGAGGGGTGGCGGGGAGGGAAGGAGAATCGAGCGGAGATCAGCGAGAAGACTTTGACGCGCTTTCACCTTCCTCGCTCGCGCGCGGAGGACCTTCACAGCCTTGCTCAACCGACTCAGCCTTCGCGGTGACGGAGCTCTGTGCGAACCGGTTCCCCCGCGTGTGCCGCGTGCGCGCACGCTCGCTCGCTCGCTCGTCGTTCACCGTCGTCCCACGGACATCCCGTCCCGGAGGTAAACCAAGTGCTGGCGTCGTCGTCGTCGTCGTCGTCGTCGTAGCGCTCGCGGGCTCAGGGCTGCCGTTTGCATCAGGTCTCGCCACGCGCCATGCATGCGGGCGGACGCCAGCCACGCCAACTCTTCGGCTTCGGCAGCCTCTTTCGAGCTCTCCTGACTCAACTTCTTCCACACGTCCTTCCCTCCTTCGTTCTCAGCTCTTTCTCTCTCTCTCTCGCCTCTCCTTGTCACCGCTCGGGCCCCGAACCTACTCGAATCAGAGCCGCGGGACCTGGGTGGCTGGTGGGACCACGCGCCACGCGGCGGACGAGCGAGAGAGAGCAGCGCGGCCAAATGGGACGCCTTCGATCGCACGATTCACGACGACGGTCGTCTTGATATCGTGACGTCAACGACGACAGATCGAGACGAGATGATTCTTATGATTTTCTCAACGAGGTCGATGGGCAAGCCGCCCGTCTTACGACCTAGAATGTGACCTTCACCTAGTGCCGTCTTCCGGAGTCCCGACTGTTTCGACGGCGTATCTCTTCCGGATTCCCATCTATTTACCTTCCGCAATCTGCATTGACTCGATTCCCGAGGTTTCGCCGAATAAGGTTTCCCCCATTAAAATTTTCGTGCTTTTCCGGGAAATTTTCTCACCTCGGGTGGCACCATTCAAGATGGTCGATGCGGCTATTGAAGGCTAGTATTATGTATTTGTCATATGACAACAAATGTAATGATGACCCGAAAAGACTTGAAGATCTTTCAGCTTCATAGCTTCATTCAGTTTCTTCACTTGGTTTCTCTCTCACGCGGGTTTTTGAAGGCAATTACTGTTAAAAAAAGGAAAGGACACCTTGCATGATCTTGCATATAATTATATACACTTTACAGTCGCTTCTGTTAAAAAAAAAAAACTTATTTACATCGATACCGATTTATAAACTCTTATTTTTCTTGGAGTGTATAATCTTTATTTCTTTCAACATAACGAATTAATGGTAAAAGCGGGCGCACTGCTCAAAATCGCAGTGATTTACAGTATCTGTCGAATATTTGTTACATAAAACGACATAACTTCGGTACATAAATATATTACTTCTCCGACATAGCTATACTTCAACTAATCTGTTGGTCTGTGAGTCAGAAAGGTGTTCTCGTAGTTGGACTATCCTAACTCGCAGACCGCGCAGACCGTCGTATGAAAAAAAAAGACGTTAATTCGTAGAAAAATTAAACATACTAAAATCGTATCGCCGACTGCTCGTACACAACTAACGCGTATAATATATATAAATATACATAACTGGATTATAAATATCTTCTTTTATGTTCAATAAACAATAGATCCTTGCACAAGCCCTTTTTTTTTACTAAAGCAATAAAATGAACTTGTACTACCTCGACGATTTTAGCCGCCCGGGTAGTAAACTTCGGTCTAAATATTGCCTTACATAAACCAAACATTATTCTCTTAGAAATTAATTAATTTCGCTCTGTAATGATAGCAACGCAAGACACAACGAAGTTAATCGATTTATCGAGCTAGAGTGTCTAATAATTTGACGTTACGTTTGCTGTACATTGTATATGTGACTTGCAGGCTCGCACGGTTTCCAAATGCGTTTGCATATAAAAAAATAAATCCGCTGTGTAAGCCGTCGATTTTTTTGCTTTATATTAGAGTACATACAAGTCACGCGATATACATAAATTTGTAATATAAATTTATAATGTTGATATTATGTATAGAAATAAATATATACAATATATAAATTTATAGTATAAATTTTACATTAAGCACTCATTGGCATGTCATTTATATTATTGACAAAAAATATCTACCAACGTGTGAACGTAATTCCGTCATATATCATATTGGTTTGTTTATTGACCACAAAATTGAAGGGAGAAAATTACTTAATTCAATTACTGATTAAAAAAAAAAACACTTCAGTAAAAAGGGAGGGATATGTCTTTAGCAACGTATAATTTTTTAGAGCTCATTTGCCAAAAGTAGTAACAATATGCGTTTTAACAGACGTCCGGTGCAACTTTAAAATTTGTATTGAGCAAAATAGACAATACACTTTTGTCGTCATATATCCCAATATTATCTTTAAGTTTTCTTCATTTTTTTTTAGTTCCTAATTGTGTGCAGAAGCTTGTACGGATACGTCGCGTACGCTGGATCAAGTAGATATTCTTTTGGTATTAGATTCTTTCTCAATACATACGAAACTAATTTCTCATAAAAATATAACATCTTATCTCAAGCACGCGTCATTTATACGGCGTATATATATATAATGCTGCATTATGTAGTATTAATTGATCGGTTCACATAGAAAGTCGGTTATTAAAATAAAGAGCGTTTGAGACGATATTTTTAACGTTTAGATAATTAAGACAGGGCTGCGTTCAGGAATTCACGGTATTATCGTTTTATCCTTGTTATGCCGAATGTGTAAATAATCGTATCGATAAAATGATATCTAGATGCAATGCCTAGGTGAAATTTCTGAACGTAGCCCAGAAGTTCACAAGTCTTCACGATATACGCTTCCCTGGTTGGATTCAAAAAGTCCAAAAGTGAGTGATAACGCTGCCGTGATAACGCGGCGAAAGGCAGATTACGTTTCCATCAAGCGATGACGCATGCGAGAACTATTACAGGTACAAAACATAACCGGATCTCCGTCTCACTCCGTGCGTTCACGTGTCTTCACTCCGCCCGCCTGGAGCTTCACCGTGAAACCTCATGAACTTCCACATCCTATATATATATATATAATCAATATCTACACACTTCGTATTACAAACGGGGCGTTAATTGAATTTTTTTATATCTCCGGTTATTAATTTTTCGCTGCCGGCGTTTCAGAGCGGCGTTTACTGCTCGGATCTGCGAAGAAACTTCCTGCGGCCTGTCATTTTAAGTTGACGCGGGGTTTTAAAGGGGAAAAAAAAAGAAATTAAACTATCGGCGGGAAAAGTTACGATGGATGCGTTTGTATGTGCCAGAAAGTAGCGGGAAGACCTTGTTCCGTATAAATATTATGTTACACTGTACACGCTCTTATACAATTTTACAACGGCAGGCCAACGAGCGAGTTTAGCTTGCTCCATTGTACATGATGATAACTATTCACAACCGAATGAGGAGACAGGTCGAAAGCTTAATCAATAAAAAACCAGTGATGGAAAGCGTCGAGTGTTATTTTACGCGCCCCAGATTCACATTCCAGATTTTGAACTATAAAAGAAATTTCCCATTTCGTTCACGATCGATGTGTCTGCGAGGGGATTAATATAGCTCTCGACATAGCCTTTCTTTTATCTTGTGCGACTAAAATTCGTTCTCAAATTTATCGTACTTATCATCGATACGGAATACAAATCCTTTTTCCTTTTCGTTTTTATTTGCTGGTCAAGTGAACGCTTCGAGACGAGAAGAAAACAGGAGAGCAGGTGGCGCGTTTCCTGGATGCCTGTATTCTAATTGTGCTACATTTATACAATGTAGTATTTACGTATAGAATTATAAGTGCGGCGAATCTCCGTGATATTTTGCATACATTCTTTGTTTTTATAAATATATCAAAGGATAAAGTGTCTTAACGACATATCTCTTCCCGATGTGAATAAATATTATTTATATAGCTTCCCTAGCGTCCTTACTATCTCGCTGGCATGGCCGGCATTTTCTCAAGGAAGTCCTGCTCGATTACAGTCTCCAGTTGCGTGTTATTTATCGGCACGTACGTGTCGCACGTGGCGCGACGGCTAAGGCTCGAAAAGAAATTATGCAGATCTTGCAAAGAGCGAACGTTATTCGACGTCAGTAGAAGCTCCCCCGGATTCCTCTTTGGCGGTGGACCTTCCGGCTTGAACTGTAAAAAGAGATCAGTATAAATTTTAAGAAAGAATAAAAAAGGAAAAATCCTTGTTTGATATGTGATTCAGAAGCAACATGAAACGATGCAAAAATATGAAAAATTGCGTTCGTATAGCGCCGAAATGTTGCACAACACTGCTCGAGACCGTGCATTGGCTTAGTTGCAAAAACGAACGCATATATATGTAATTTCTCACGGTACTAAAATAAAATAAGTATTTCAGTGTTGCTGACAGCGCGTCACATTAAGTTCCTGTGATTTTCTCGTAATACATCTATCAATTATAGCAAACGTTAGATTTGGATAACTGTAATAGAAATTTTTACGCTTCTCGGAAATTAAGATTAAAATGTATTAGCAACAAAGATTGAATTAAGTGAAATTTTTTAGCAGCAATAGTCTTTAAGTGGAACCGATATAAGAGCAGAGTCATAGCGATAATTGAGACTATTTGTACGATTTGATTCTAATAGTGTACATCGAGTTTGTCAACGGTCCGTGCAGAGACGATCATGGCGATGGCCTGGCTGAAAATCTTATTTTATTACATTCTGTGTACTGTAATAGTTATTACTGCACGTGAGTACTAAAGCAACATCATTTAAAAGACACGATTTCATATTTCATTCTCTTTTTTTAAACTAAAATACAGACTTATATAAAGTATTTTTCTCTTTTTCTCAATTTTCTTGTTAATTCTTGCACTTTCTTTTATTTATATAAGATTGATATAAACGTTTAATTTAAAAGTTACGTTGCTTCTCAACAATTTTATAAAAGAAAAATCAATTAAGAATTTATTAGAAATAAAAAGATAAGGTAAGGAATAATTCTAAATCGTCTATTTATCTACAAATATAAAATATAACATAAATATCCATCTTTTTTATTAATGGTAATTAAATTCTATATGCTCTACATGGTCTCAATTTAAGTTAATTGATGCTAATTATGAGAACAAATATTAATGAAGAGATAGCTACGCGCAGATAAGACAGCCTTTCATATGGAATTAATTTAATTAATTAAATTTCCTTTTAATAAAAAAAAACATTAAATTTTTGTTCTATGTTTAAACCGAGTCTTTAAAATAATAGGCAAATAAAAATGTTTAACATTAAACAAGAAGAGATTCATGAAACATCGATACAATGATTCCATCTTCTTATCCATTTACTTAAATAAATAAAAACAATTTTCTTCATATTTTACTAACGTGCATATACAATTAACGAATATTGCGATAATTTAATTATTGTATTTATCACAGAGTACACGAGCGACTCCGAGTACAACGATTTTGACTTCTACGAGGATTTGTCAGCGGATCGCTCAAAAGGTTTCAATAAAAAATACAACAGTGTCGCGCAGGACGATTTTTACATTGCAAACGATTTCGACGACACGGAAAATCAGAATCACGGCATGCGTCCTGGGTCGAATTACGCCGTTTTTGGAAACAATATCGGTCCTTTTGAGAGAGATCCTTTCGACAAGCAATTCAACTGGTATAAATTGTCCGAGAAAGTTTACAGATACACGAAGCACCGAATTCCCGGGTACGACTACGACGAGTTCGATTACATGCGTTCGAGGAATGTTGAGTGCGACAACAGATCGATCTGGACGCATTGTCTTTGCCAATTCACGTGCTCGAAGCCGGACGTAGTAGACTGTTACACGCCGTGCAGAAGCGGATGCGAGTGCAAGGAGGAGTACGTTTTTGATGAGAAAGCGCAGAGATGCCTGTTACCCGAGGAATGCTCGACGGACGATTACAATTACAATTATTAAAACTTTATATTTACGCTCTCGCTCTCGTTAAATCACTCCTCCTCACGGTCGCGGGAAATAAAATCGATAATTGCGCCATAAATAATTTCCCGTGTTTACACGAAAGCAAGATCAATTGTAGTAGCTCACCTTACTGTCCATCAATTTCGCTATTCTCGTAATATGCGGCACAAAGTCCGAGGATGAATTGTTGTTATCCATGCAGCCTGCCGCCGCGTCCCCGACGAACGCCCATTTGTACCTGCGAACGAGCGGGACAATGCGGATTATCGCGGAACGAAATATGTAGGCGCTCTACTTTAAAATATTTCTCTCTCTCTCTCTCTCTCTCCGCTTACATTTGAAACTGTGGTAATCTATGCGCGGGCAACAGCAACGCGAGGTCTAGCAGCTTGGCGGCGGCCAGCTGCAGCTGCAACCAGTGAGGATGCCCGTGCGCCTGAAGTCCGTTGCTGGCGTTAACCGCCCACGACGAGTCCAGAGCCGACAGCAGTTTGATGTGCGAGCTGCGCGCAGAGAAATGCAAATGTGCCATTTGTATCGGTCAGCGGATGACAGAGTGCGAACAATTCCTTAGAAATCGTAATTCACTCGTCCAAGATATGAACAATACACAATTTCCCCGTAGAGTTCGGGCAACGAGATACAAGATTGTTATTAGTAATACCCTTCGACATTCGACATGCTCGACACAGTGGTGTAAAGTTTTTCTTTCGTGCTCCCAATTATTTTAAATATTTGTACTTATAACTATTTTTTTTTTTTTTAGTTTTTTTCGCAGTAAATACCTGCCTCTAGTCTTTTCCAGTATTTATCTGTTTTGAAATATATCTTATCATATTCGAAATTGAAAGTTTGTATAATGTAGAAATAATTTTGTACGCGTTTGTTCTAAATGTTTTACTCCCAGGCGCCGAAACTAGAGTATCCTTTACATCACTGTACTCGAGTATCCTTACGACATTAATAGTATGCATGAACGCGTGCAGTATGTACGTCGAATATGCATTGAACCATCGAGTTACCTGCTATGACGACTGCCGTCCCAACACCATTCAAGTTACGGAGGCACCACAAATCCCATCAAATCGCGAAGATGCCGAAACAGAGCCAAAAAACAGTACGATATTAGATAGTATCCATGTTAGTGGGG